TGTCCTTTTCACTCATTCGTTTTACCCATATTTTTTGTCCTCGCTGCGAGCCCAAGGGTTTTTGTCCCTTCACCCTTACGCGTACGCGCATGTTGTAGGAGTGTTAGTGAGAGGTTTAGTGTGCGTGCACAAGGGCTTCTTACAATCAATACAGTCTTGTTCCAACTTTAGTGCAGTGTGCGCCGTGATGTGCGTTTCGGGAGTGTTTTGGCGGGAAAACCAGAAATAACCAGTTTTATGTAGAAAGAAGCAGCTATGAATAGTAAAATTTGCAGTAAAATATGGTTATAGTGAATTATGGAGAATATTAGGAGGGTAGGGATTGTCTTCAATTTGTTTTTGGATAAATCGGCGTGATGTTATATGAGTGAGTATTCCATATTACCATATTTATCCCTATTATAATAATAATTGTCCGTCTGAATTTTAAAATACAGAAATATGTTTAGTACGTTGCAGAAAATAAAAGGTCGCATCTTAAAAGTGGATTTCATTTATAACTACAATTTAATTTCCATTTATACGTCAGGCAAAAACCTGTTTCAAATAATAAATAAGTTGAAAACAAAAGCCGACTAATTGTCGTGAATTATGTTCATTCAAGTGAAAGAAAAGTACAAGGTGAATGGTTCAATAACTTTTGAAGAAAACGGTATTAATATGTTATTGTGTAGTTGCAAATTATAATAGGTACCTATTAATTAATCACTGCGATGTAGTTGCTGTCTATATTCTCAACAATCGTGAAAAATTTACTTCAATCGCGAATAAAAAGCCTTAATAATAAATGCAGTAGTCCTATTCATTCAGGCCAAGTTCAGGCAATCTTGTATATGTGGCACCGACCGAAGAGGTACATACCTAGGTTATTTTTAACTCAAACAAAACGTACCTCCATGGTCACACCAGCGAAGTTGTGAACAAATACGTTGCCGAACTTAGAGCCACGCTTGTAAATCGTGTCCATACGTATTATAAACTTTGTAACAATATATCGCCAATGAATGAGGACTAAAACTCGTTTGTATCAGCTGATAAGTCGGCTGGCATGCATAAATTTTAACTACTTTTGTTTTTTTAATCGCACTTTTGTCGTTCTTACCGCATCGAATGGACGCGATTCGAGAATTATACTTTGGAAACCGGTACATGTTCCAGATATTAATGTGGAGACGGCAGACATGGAATGCTAAACAAAATATAGGTAAACATTCTTAAATCGAGGTGCAATAAGGTGTAAAATAGAATAATAGATTTTTTGACAGCGTATTGAACAGATTCCTGGAAGTGTTGCAAAAGAGCGGGGTGAACAATTTTGATGGCGCCAATTGCCATGTGATTTTTATTTGCACGTGGTGGTGTACGTATTTGACAAGTTTTGAAACGTATAGTATTCATGTTTACAGTTTAATTCAGTTTAGCATTCAGAAACTATATTTAACAATTGAGGATATAATATATCTTATATATTATATATAATATAATTCAAAAACATTTGTGACAAAGCCAGAACGATATTGTTCCATGGGCACACAAAAAATAAAATCAGAAGTGGACTAACAAATTTCTTGCTCACGCCTAACAATTCTTCTTTTCTTATCAAACAATCAGACCAGTAGATCTTTTAACTCTTTAGTTTTTCTCAATGAACGCTCGTGTCGTACAGTAATAATATCAAGTCACGAAAACTTGTCGAGAATTTAGATATATCTGTTCAAGTATATTTGGTTGAGTATATAAGAAATCCTGTTTGATCCTGAGGTGCCTCTTTTAAAAATATCTACACGTTTGTTGACGTAATCCTTCCTGGGGCCTCAAAGGAGAACTATGGCGGTTTTGTTTAAGATTTCAAATCCAGAGATTGGTTTAATGTCTTGTGAGATGATAAATGGATACGTTTATTGCGCGTATTCGATTTAACGTAAAGTTCTTGGGAAAAAAAGCAGTCGAGGTGGGAATTTTTATTATAATAATAGAAAAATATATAGCTATAATAAGAGGCGGTATCATAACAAATATAGTCCTCATGGAATAGACAATCGGACAATAATGTAGAAAATTCAAAATGTAGTTAAAAAGAACTTTGTACTCGGTATCGAAAAACCCGAGAAAAACGAGGTTCGAGACCACACTCTAGTAGTAGTAGCTCCTTGAGAAAGAGTTCTTCCAGGGAAGTATTGCTACCTTACCTATTTCTACCGCCAAGCTGTAATGTGAGCATTATTGCGTTCCGGTTTGGAAGGGTAAGGGTGCTGGTGAAATTACAGGCACCATAGACTTGTCAACTTATGTCTCAGGGTGACGGACACACTGGCAGTGCCCCTAAGATCATTGCCATTAAAAGCTCTAAGTGGCACTGCAACTGTTATGGATAGGCGTGTCGTTTACTACTAGGCGCACGACTTGTTCGTCCCGTCATTTGGTATTATAAAAAAAAAACCACATTCAAAACACAACGTCATTTGGTATTATAAAAAAAATACTACATTCAAAATTTAATATTTTAGTCTTCTAGTTTACACTGAATTAAAACATAAAGTCATATTGATTTTTTTTTTCATTTTATAGTGGTTACGTGAGGTACAAAAGGAGTTTAATGTAGTTCCAATAGTGAGGACATGATTTTATTCCTATTGTTCTTCAATCTCTACAGATCATACTAAGCTCTACAGTGTTGCCATGTCCATGTAACCAAAATTGCTGTTGGTTTAGTAGATTTTTAATACTGTGTAAATGATTTAAAAGTCTAGATATTCCCGAGACTGAAAACATTAGTCTCGAGTTTCGAATATGCTAAAATATGTCGAGACTAGCGAAGACCGAAGTCGCGATTCTTGAGACAAAATTCCAATACTAGTACACTTCCCTACAAATATATGTGTATACTTTATTCTTTATTTAATATATTAAAGGAAAATCCGACTCCTAAAAGCTCTTGTAATATCACAAAAATTATAATGGTACCAAATAAGATGAAATGTTTTAAAATTTTACTTCTTCGATAAAAATCGCATAAATCTTATCTTCAATCATGACTTAATTTTTAAGACACCGGCTAAAAACAAGTTCGTCATCACTAAATATACTTATGACATTTTTAAGGCCCTAAGAGCAAACAAATTGTAGCAGAAGTGAAGTTCATTCAACTTAATAAATACACGTGTCTCTGGTGTCTATAAAAGATATATTACTTCCACCGCAGTTTTTATAAAAAAAAACTTATAAAGTCATGGTTATCGCACGTTAAAAGAAACAAAAAATTTGTTTTAATAAAAGTAAATTGTTAACTCGTGAGACCGTTATCATCCTTGATAGAATAATAGACCTGGCGCTTCGCTGATACAGTTCATGTGATTAAATGATTTATAGTTATGATATCAAATCGTCCCGTGTTATACATTTTCCTGGGTATATAAAATAGTGAGGGGTCAAAAGAAATAACGACTTGTACTGTATATCAGCGGACATATAAAGTTACATGAGATAAGACGAAAGAACGAGATGCGCATATTCATAAATTTTAAATGAATGAAATAGTATTGTTATAATCATTACTACAAAGATCGAACTCATTCGTTCTGGTTGCATTCGAACCAGCTCCTTCAACATACTGTGCCTGATGCGCTCCCAACTAAGCTGCGGAACGAACCAGCAGACGTTACGAAGTTTTGTATGTACTTTTTGTTTTTAACGAGTTTTTGCCGTAGCGCCGTCTGTGAGAAATCTATGAAAGGTTTTCTTCACTCACTCAGGTACCTTTACAGCTATCGGCGGACTAGAGATGTCGCTATAAGGCGAGTCACCGGAAGAGATATGGGAAAAACTGTTTTGCTAGATCAAATGATTTAGGTATTTATTATTAAATAACGGTCTTACAAAAAATATACGATACACTTAAGGATATTGTCTAAAGAATGTGCTAATGTGTTACACGATAGAATGTGCTTTATCCGATCATATAAAATCCTGAAACAGGCTAAAATTAAAGTCTAAGCCAAATTATTTAAGAATAAAATATCTAACTTTGTATATATAATTTTTACATGGAGATAATTTATCTTTAATTATTATAGAGAACCTGCAAAATTTTGGTTTTCAACAGAAGCCCTATTAGTTATTAAATTCACATTTATCCCAAAATTTGTAATTGTCCAGCGGTTTAACGACACGCCGCGTCACCCGTTGCCCCGTCGTCCTTGTCGACGTCGGATCTGTGTCAAATTTTCTCCACCTGTTCATATTTTATTCGTATTAATTTACAGCGTGCGGAGTGTGGGACGCGACTAGCGACCCCCCACACCTCACCTCCTAAAATCTAGGCTCGCGTTGAGATACCTCACCTTAATAATAACAATATTAAGTTTATTGAATATTACAATGTTTTACTACCATGGGTATTCTTTAATTTTGTCGAACAGCTTGTGAGATACTGAATGTTCAGAGTCGAGAACTGCAAATAAATTTACTATAAGATGGGCACATGTCCAAATCATAAAATCTGTTCTACTTCGTAACTCAATGGTTCTGCAATGAAACAGAAAGTGGAATAAGCGAGGAGTCGTGCTCGTAGAAAGTGAATTTGTTCATTGACATCACATCTACAGCCATTTCCGTTCCAAGTTGAATGTTCGATCGATTGAACCATACTGTATTATCAAATGAATGAATGGATTGATTTGTAAATTGTTAACAATGAATGTTCAATAATAAATGGCATATTGTTGATTTGAATAAATATAATTTGGTATTTTACGTCCATGCATTAGTGGGTTTGGTTGACGCTACATATGAGACTAGCTTCTGGAATAGCAATAGGGTAAAATATATAATTTTAAGTAAATACTATACATAATATTATGTTCTCAAAAGTAAAACATTGAAAAAAGAATTAATGTATAAGTTTTCCTTATAATTGCTATAGGTAGTGCAAAGTACTTACCTATGTTTGTATGTATTTACCACATTGTTCTGTTTAATAGACTTTGTATCTTTGTCAACAGACGTAGCGGCTATGATTCAGAGTCTAGCGAGTATTCAGAGGACTCAGCGGCGGCATATGAGGATGTCTCGACTACAACCAAAAGCACTGGGCCGCGGAAGAATATCAATAGGGGAAGGTGGACGAAGGAGGAGGTAAGACTTCTTTTTTCATGTTTTCACTTCTGATATGTATGTAAATAGTACACCGCTTTTATAGAGTGCTTTTCGAACTTCACAATGTCCATAAATGTAAGAAAAAAATTGTTTCACCGCTATGTCTCTGGTCCTTCGTACCGGATATGATCACATTATTTGTTATCAATTCCAGGACAAAAGATTAAAAGCGTACGTGAAGATGTACAGCGAGAACTGGGATCTGATCGCGACCCAGTTCACAGACAGATCTGACGTGCAGTGTCAACAGCGCTGGACGAAGGTTGTCAACCCGGAGCTAGTCAAAGGACCTTGGACCAAGGAGGTGAGAACTTTAAAACTTCTACCCCATAGTCGTCGACTTTTTTTGCAACGTTTTGCAACGTTTCTCTGATACAATAACATGTCTTGGGCTAATAAAGCTACACGTAAAGTACTAAGTAGTGATACTAAACGAAATTCTCAAAAATACCTTTTAATTTGTATACTACTTCTAAAACTGTAGGTTCCTTTTTATTTTAGCTGAAAACCGCATTCGAAAATCTTCGTTGAGTAAGAAATTTTGCATTTGTCATTGTGCATTGTGTCACTGTCATTCTCAGTGTGCGATATATAAAATAATATTTTGGACTTTTCCACTAAACCACGTTGCGTAGCAAGTACTAGTATAGTGCAGAGCACATCAAGCTTGACATCTTGTACTTTGAACCGTTCTTATCGTAAGCGGCATTAGAGTTGGATTTAAGTGTCAAGCTTGACTTAAGTGTCAAGCTTGACGTGCTCTTGACCTTATACTAGTGAGGTTTTGTGGAATAAAATACTACGAACCCAACTAGTATTGTCAGTTTGCAGATGTGACTTTATTACATCAAGGGTCTGATGTGATATACAATAACCATAATATGTGATCATTTAACACAATTTTCCGCTTTGCTTAATAATTATGTGGCTACCCTCTGTCATTCCAAACCTCCAGATCTATTTGAGACGAACACTTCTGTCAAGTTTCCTCGTTTACCGAGTAATGTACATAATATGTGCCATAAGCAATACACTTGCAACTTGCGTCTCGAATCTATCAAACCGCCAATCAATCTACCTTCACGGAAATGAGTCATAATAATTCAAATAGTCTCAGGTCCCTGAACCTAGAATATCTGCATAATGCATTCAAGGAACTCGTAAAGATCGGAATGTGGGTGTTCCTTCCTGGATGCACTTCGAAAAGGCATTACTTAGTGGTTTCTTCGTAGACCTTGTACGTTTAGGTTCCCCAGCGTGTCAACGTTCCATTATTATGGCTTTCTACGTAGTAATTACTTGAATGTTACGTGATACGAAAAAATCAAAGCAATAATGATTTGTTATAAGGTTTATTTTTGGGCATTCGTCGAAAATTCCGTAGTTCATTGATACATAGGTAAAGTAGGTATAAGTTTTATTTAGGTAACATTTAAAAAAAAACAAGTTTGACTCTTTAGACTCTTGACCGTTCTTGTTTTAAGCGGCGGCGTAGGGTTGAATTTAAATCTCAAGTGTGACACTTGAGACAAAGGTACGGAGTCAAAAACACTTCAAACTTGACAAGTTTGAAGTGTTTTTGACTCCGTACCTTTGTCTGTTTACAAATAGCAACACATGTTGTGACTACAGAACAAAGTTGTGACCTTTATTTTGGGCAACACTAAAGAATGAGTCCATTTGTATTGTGGAATCTCAAATTTATTTAAAACTTATTATATGTCCTAAATAAATAAATAAAAATAACAAATAAAAGTTAAACCTAATAATAAGTATTAGTAAGTAGTAGTTAAACGGATTTTTTTATTCAATAAAAAAAGTGGTACAATCTTGCAAAACATGTGTGTAGGTACGAATAAAACTCTTATCATTCGAAACATCCGTGAACATACAAGAATGTCAAAAAGCCATACACACAAATGTATGACAACATACTTTAGGAGTTTTATGAATGAATTCATTGTGTGAGATGGACAAGTCTTGAATGTTTAACGAGTTTGCCTTTTAAATTTCTATGGAGAATTGTAAACGACGTTTATTTACTTTGCGTTGTTAATTTTAACTTTTGGCTAATGTAACGCAGATAATGTATAATAAGTTTTTTTATTAAAAAAATCGACGCTAAAAATTTTTTTATATTAATAAACCGGATTCATCCTCTACATTTGCCATACTTATAGTTGGAATATTTTCTTCAAAATTGAATGGTACCACTACTGAGGTACCCCTCTTTCCAACAAAAAAAGAACCATCGAAATCGGTTCCCAAATGTCGGAGTAATCGCGTAACATACACACAAAAAAATGTACAGACGAATTAAGAACTTCTTCCTTTTTGAATTTGTTTAAAAAATGTTTGCCTTGTAGGTATCGGTGCGAGTGCGACCCATGTAACTAAATAATAAAGTTAAAATTGGCTCATCTGCTTATAAGCATGATGATCCATTTACAATATCGTGTTTATTATAAAAATACGTATTTATTATGATAATAAATTCGGTTTACAATACCGCTGCTATTATATTACGTTTGATAATAAACGCGAATTCTAACATGAAAAAACATTTTTTAATATTAAGTTTATTTGAATATCACGATGGTTTTACTTACTTTATATTCAAAATTTTTTTTTGTGAAATTACTCCACTGGTTTGTTATAATTGTTAATACAAAGATGGAACAAAGAAAAATTCTTTCGATCCGGATTTCCTGGCCTTACCGTGGCTGACGGTACGGCGAGGACGCTGGCTCTAGTCCTACCCGATCGAAGATATTTTTCTTTGTGTTCGATCTTTGTATTAATAATTATAACAAGATTTCTCAAGTTACTAATTACTATCGCTTGGTAAAGATAGTATTGATGCGCGAAAGTCTGTCGATACACAAGATAAATCAATTTATTGATAAGCTTGTCCATACTATTGAACACAAATATAGATTCCACTATCGATACTATACGATGACGTAGTACTATGCGAGGTACTGTCGGTATACAGTAATTCTATTGATTGGTCTATCGACCGTGTAAGTAAAGTCAAGGTCAAGTATTGTTCGGCATCACTTGGAAATATAACAAAAGACAATCTCATCGGAGACTCGAGACGAAGTTACTTACTTACACGTATACAGTACATAATAACATTTGCCTTTGAAAAAAAGAACCTTATATTATATTGGTTATTGGTGTTACCATATGTGGTTCTTTTTTCTGCGACAAATTGTAATTTTGTACAAAGTTTCGCAAACTATGTCTTACAATATTTAAAGTTTGATTAATGTACGTTGGCTTTGCGCTCGTTTTTCAAATCAATGTCATTATTATTCATAAAATCGTGTTCGTTTTTTTCTAAGCAGGTATGCTGATGTGCAAAATCAAGAAGCGTTTTTGAAGGAAGTTTTTAAATTCTGGACTTTGGATTCTATTTTTGTTTATTCAACAAAAACTACTACATAAAATCTTTATCAATCTAGGTTTTTACACTTTCGACTTTTGGTCGCGCTTATCGTAAGTCGCATAGAGTTAAATTTAAATTTGAAATGTGAGTAAAGCGTGTTTTTTTTTTGGTAATTTGGTTCATGGTTCAAATAAGCGCGGATTTGGAATGTGACGATGAGGTCGACGATGGAGCATGCACACCTATACATTACCTATACACTTAAGCATTACCGCGCGTTGAAAACACCAAAACGAAACTTACGCTATTTCAAATTTTAAAATTAATTTCATAAACTTTAATGACTATTTCTCAAAAGTTCACTTTTTCGTTTAGTGAGGTTTTCAACATGCGATATCGGTACGCCTGTCTCCCAAAGTTACTTTCTACTTACTCCATTCACGTCAGGATTTTCATTCAAATCGTGAAACCCGGAGAGCATGTGCGAATCGGGCACGGGTCAGGACGGGACCGCGGCGGGCGGCGGGTCTGATTCCGTGTATTCACATGGACGACAACACAGAGAGCGTGTGTAGTCTTCCATCTGGTCCAGATGCGTATATCGAGGTCAAAGTTTCCCTCCAAGTCAGTCTGTGTCGTTTTTCGGCTTTTACATAGGGCGCACTATAAGTTTCCGGAACTGGCCACTTACATAAACAATATTTAAAAAGTAATTACAACATTTGAAAATGGAACTCTTTGGCTGTAGAATACAGTTTGTTTCATCTGACTGTCACTTGTTTTTACATAGTGGCGTCATTTTAGAAATTGGTTGTCTACATCACCATGGATTTAACTCGTGAAAATTTTCGTAGTATGATTTTCTACGACTTTAAGTATTATTTAACAGCTCAGCGGAGCTTCGCTCGGCTTCAAACTGCTGTTAGCGATGAAGCACCATGCAAGACGACTATTTATAGCTGGTTTGCAGAATTCAAACGCGGTCGTGTGAATCTCAGTGACGAATTTCGTGTCCCGCACCAAATAGTAACAGGTGACGAAACATGGATTTATAGTTACGATCCCAAAACAAAGCAGCAATCGATCGTATGTGTCTTTCGAGATGAGCCGAAACCAACCAAAGTACCGCGCGTGCAAAGTGCATCTAAGCGGATGATGCTTCTTTTTTTAATAAAACTGGACACATGGATACAGTTGCTTTGGAGAATCGTTGTATCGTGAATAGTGATTGGTACACGACCATTTCTTTGCCGGAAATTATTGACAAACTCCGTAAAAATAACCGTAAACGCCGTATCGTCTTGCACCACGATAATGCCAGTTCTCATACGGCCAGACAGACAAATGAATTTTTGAAGGTGAACAACACTGACTTATGAGCCATCCCGCGGACAGTCCCGACCTGGCACCTTGTGACTTTTATTTATTTCCAAAAATTAAGAACCAGTTACGCGGTCAACGATTTTCGTCACCTGAAGAGGCTGTCGAAGAGTATGAAAAATATGTTTCAGAGATTATTACGGAGGAGTGGCATAAATGTTTTCAAAATTGATTCATTCGTATGAGAAAGTGCATTAACGTTAACAGAGAATTTTTTGAGAAACAATAAATTCATTTTTGACCACTTATAGTATTTTTTCTTATTCATTCCGGAAACTTATAGTGCGCCTCACGTATATGACATAAATACTATGAAAACAATAATTTACTTACACTGTACGGTATGAAAACACTTTATTTAACATTGCAAAAACAGTCTTTTTTTATGATACCAAGTGACGGGATGAACAAATCGTGACTTCGTTGGCCACCCCATCGCACATTATATAACAGTTGCAGTGCCGCTCGGAGCTTTAAATCGCAAAGATCTGGGGGGCACTGCCACTGCGCCCTCACTCTGAGACAAGTTG